GCTACGTTTGGTAGCTCTGCTCCATTTAATTCTGCCATCAGCCGACCAGGAAACTCCCGTTAACTCAGCACAGCTCTGAAGCCATTCCAGTCTCTCCTCCTCCTCCTTGGCTGCTGTCCATCTTTTGACTCCTGAACTCCTGTCCCTGATCCATATCTCTTACTTCAGTGAACCTCATCTGACCTCTTATGTTCAAGTGTTTCACTCTTTTCCAGAAAACAGAGGGACTATTAGATATAAAGACCCTGTCTGCCCACTTTCTCCCTCTACTTCCCCCAGAACCTGTGATCTTTAACCTCCCAAAACATGGACACACTTCTTTATATTCTCCATCATTCCCTCTTTCTCTGATCCTCCCCGCTCTCCTTTACCTGTATTTCAGAGCCTCTGGTCAGTCTGTGAGCCCTGATACATTAGCTGGATGTAAATATGTTCCATCTGGGAAGGCCAGATTGTGGATTCCCTTCCCTGTACTTCCATCAGCTATTCATTCTCATGTTCTGTGTTCCTCTGTTGGGCTTCTTCCAGTCTTCAGAGATGTTACCATACCACATTCCCAGGCTCTGATATGCCCCCCCCCCCCCCCTCTCTCTCTCTCTCTCTCTCTCTCTCTCTCTCTCTGTTTCTCCATGGAGGATTGTAAATTATTTATCCGTTGATCTTGAATGTCCCAGAAAGCCCAGGAAGCAATGAGATTAAAGATGTATTGTCGTTGTTGTTGCATGTTTCTCATCGTGTTTCTGTAAAAGAGAGATTTACCTGGTAAGGTCTAGCTCTATGCATCTCAAACAGAAAGTGATGCCTATTTGGCTGCTACGAAACTTTGTTGCTATGTTGATGCTGTCTAGTGTCTTTTTTGGTTTCTTCTCCCAATCTCAGGAGGTAGGAGCGATAGTAGTGTAGGAAAGTGAACTGCAATCCCTACAGTCCAAATCGGCTATGCTTTCACTTAAGTAGGGCTGCTGAGGCTGTTTGACTGACTGTGCACGGACACTAGAGGAAGAAGCTGCTCCTGAGCTGGGAGGACACGTGTGGGTGAGCAGAGAAGAGGATCTGTTCGGCCTCCCGACGTTGCATATGTTCAGTGAAAAGTTAAAAATTGAAATCTTCACTATGACAACCAAGTGAACTTTTATTTGTAACTTTGAAAATTTAAGTAAAGTGGCACTTTGGGTGTCTTTTGAACCTTACAGGTCTTTGTCCATGTGTCCATTTTTCCCCTTACATGAGGCAAGAGTCTCACATTTCATCTGATTTCATGATGAAATAAAAACACATCTCTTTGACTGCAAATCCACACCTTTATGAGACTTTCTGGTGCTTTTTGGTTTTATATTTTTTCATCTGAAGCTCAGATTTCTCTGTAGTAGAACAATCAAAGCCCTCCATCATGTCTGACCTTTTCCAACCTTGAGACCGCAACCTCCCCTGTTAGAAGCAGAAGAAAATACTCTTATCACTTGCCTTGAAGTGAACAGAATCACAAAGCCAGCAGGGCCCACAAGAACATAAAAGCTTAATGAGTGTTTTTGTATTATCACTGGCTAATAGGACAGCTGACCCCAACGGCCTTGAAACCGCCCACTCAGCACTTTGGAAACACATTTGTACCAACAATCGGAGGCTAAAAAGGACAACAGAATCTTCTGGCATGAAACGGCCCATTCAGCAGTTCAAACACACGCTTTAGGGTACAGTAGACAATAGCTTTAACTTTGTGCACTAAATTGTGTTGTGGACTTTGTATAGCTGGCTAGTGCTGCATCTTTTTCTCACAAAAGGCTACTCACCGAAAGCTGTAAAGAAATATCTAGTTATTTTTACATGCAGTCATTGCTCCTTTTTCTGCATTGTGTCTGACTTTTTCCTTTCCATGCCTGAATTATGGACTTGATGATCAGTTATCCCTTTCAAGTTAGCTCTACTGTCTCTTTTGTTGTTTGGGGAATGCATTTTGAGAGAACGAAATGTAAAAGTTTGACTTTTGGGGAAACGCACTGGATATACTTTCAAGCAGAGTTAAATTAGAATAGTACAACCCACAGGCCTGTTCATAACATTTGAAGCCACAACCAGCGATGAACTTGGGAAACAGGGTTTCACTTTGAGCTCCTGAACTTCAGAACCTCATCAACAACTATATCTTATTCCGCAAGGCTTCCTTTTTCCCATTTCCAGTCTTTGTGGTAAGCTAGGTTGATCAGTCGTTCATAACTTCTGTACAGACACAAGACTGATGTTGTAAAATATGCGACTCTATGACGAGGGACTTCTAGGTTTTGAGCTTAAAGTTAACTGTGATATAGACCAGGTTTTGTTCTATCTCCTTTAAAGTAGTGATCACACAGATCTCAGTATCATTCTCTGTGGCACCACACTGTTACTGTTCTTAAACGTTTATCTGACCGAGATCCAAACAACATCCTTGCTGACATGTTTGTTTTTCTCTGAACTTCAAATTTGCTTATTTCTAGGTTTAAACTTAAAAAAGTTTAACTGCCTCTTATCATCATCTTTTCTTTGTTTGTTCAGGCAAAGTAACTGTTTACTCTCAGGTAGAGAGCAGAGAAAACAGTACACCACTTCCCCCCGATTTTCTCAAGTGGACCAACCACTGAGTGATAGACCCCTCTTGTGATTTGTCACAGGAACTCAATAAACATGCTGTCTTTATTGCTATGGAATTCCCAATGAGCCAAATAACTTTTTTTTTTAATTATTCATTCCTACTCAGTCTGTAGAAACAGGATCAATAACACAGCAAAACATTTGTTATTTCAGATGAGGCTGTTCCCTCATCATGTAATATCCCCAAATAAGAGGCCTACAGAATACTACTTAATATGCAAAAAATAACAGCTCATTTAAGGTCCAGGATTCATAAAAGCTATCAAAAAAAAAAAGTAGATGTCTATAAAATATTATTCCTGGGGCATTTTTTCTTTTCCCTTCTCTTTAATTTTCTTTACTTGTATCTTTAGCCACGCTATTACACACCAGTATACACTCAATCCTTGTTGTCTACACACATGCACACAAACCTGCACTCATTACTCTTTCGATTTCTCTCCTCTCTCCCACTCAATCTCCTGGAGTGAGTTCCATCTTCATCTCAGTCAGAGAGATGCGTTGTTGTGTTTTTTCCTCAGGGCACTCCGTTCCTCTGTTTCATTTCTCTATTGGCTGCCTTTTTTATTATCCACAGATGGTTTCACTGTCAGGTGAATCCTTCCATCAGCCCGAGGTCTCCATGGAGACCGGTGATTGGCAACAAGCAGAGGCTGTTAGCACAATAGGTGGTCATTTTATGGCGCAGAAGGAAGCATCTTTAAATTTGATGTTTATTGTGAGACATTGATTTGCTTTTGTTTGAGATTTTGCAATGAGGAGGCTGTTTGTCTTTTACCTTTGATACTGATCATTGACAAACCCTTGAATCCATCCATTTAGCATTATGAAAATGCACAGGTAGCAAAAGGTGTAGAACAGTCTTAGCTTCAGTTTCCAACGTCCATCAAAATAAAAATGCATGGCACAAATCATCTTGCAGCTGTCTTCCATTTTTCAGATTAGATTCTGGTGTTTTCCTCAGTTTCTCCACACATGTTACATGGTACTTTAGCAAATGCCCCACTATTTTCACCCGCTAGTAGCTGACATATCAGCCTGTTGGATTAAAAAGAATTACCCACTGTGGCTGAAAACAACACTAATGAGAGTAAGAGTGTTGCAAAATGGGCCATATCAAAACACAATGAAGTGTAAGATGTTGAAACACTGTGCAAAGCTGCAGAGTGCATCATTTGATCTATTATTAATATGAAAAATAATGATAAAACAGCTTTGAAATTGTCATCATCACTCACTTCAATCCTTCTGCAATATTTAGCTTTATCTTGGACCGCATTCTTAATTATGAAAATACAGTTTGAACCATGTATTGATTTATGTAGGCGTCAGAAAGAGTCTCCTCACAGGATCATTGTGAGTACCCACCATGTAACTGGGCCATGTGCCAAGATTGCCTCTTCAGCCATTTTATAGGTCCAAGCTGCTCTCCGACGTCCTCAGGCTCCAGAGTGCTGTAGGTTCTTCCAGGTAGTTTTCATTCTAGCTGTGTGATCAAGCATGGATTTAAAGGCAGAGCCACAGGAGAGAGCAATTAAGTACCTGACAGAAGAGAAATCCAGCAGTGCTCCAGAGCCCGAGGAGCAGATTTGAGGATCACTGGTCTAAAGCCTGCCTATGTAATTGGCAGAGACATTGTAATAAGCAGGGATCATCTCTCACTAATCTGTCACAGCCCACCACTTCCACTCACACTCTCTCTCATTCCTGGCTTCGGCTGCATCTGCCAGCTTGTGGCGCTTCTGAACGGATCAGACCCCCTCATGTCGTGCCCCCCCGGTGGAGGTTTCTTGGATCTGACGCTTCAATGTGGTGACAAAAAAACACTATTCCAAAGTTGCATATTTGGAGAGAGTTGATCCCATTCTTGAGAAATCTCTGCCAGCATGGTCCCTCTGAAAGCATTAAATAGCTGGTTGAATCCCTCTGTGAAATAAATCAAACAAGGAACAACTCACAAGCTGTTCCAGTGGATTCACTTCTGGCACCTGTGATAAATTAAATTAGGACTTTCAAGTGAGCGCTCAGGTAGGATAAATTACATTAAAAAAAGAGCATCACTAAAAGTATGTTTCCCTATCTGAGTTTTACTAGTGTATTTTTCAAAGCTATTTCCACCTTTTCCACCAGACTCTTTAATTCTGGTTTCACTGTTTATTCCTCAAAACAAACACATTATTTCTCATTCAGCAGAAATGTGACTGGAATACTGAGCACACAGTGTGACACAAGTGCCCTCTGGTGGATTGATCCTGGCTTTAAGACGGGAACAACTTCCACTCTGCTGCTAGTCACACAAGGTTTTTGGAAAAGAAAAATACAAATATAAGGCTTAAGAAATATATACAGTATATAGTCAAGAGGGATGAACCTTGAAGAAACCATTTTATTCATCATCTCCACCATAATACAAAGCCATTTAATTTTGTATATCTTTATGTACAATTGCATAAATGTCATGGTGAAAGAATTGAAACACTTGTCAAAGTATAGGAGCGATAGTTTCCTAAAGTTAAGCACTTCCTGATGTAAAAGGACACCACAAAGGATCGTTGTGGTCCTGTCTTTGTTTTGTTTCAAACAGGTCATTTCTTGTAGAATCAGAAGTTTGGAAGGAAAAGACCTCCTTGTCATGACTTTATATTACAACTTCCGGGGTATGGCTGTAGATTGAAGGCATTGGATTCAGTTGTTCACCTCATCTTTGCTGCTCTTCATGGAAACTGCTAGCTCATCAATGTAATGTTATAAAGCAGATTCAGTCTCTGCTTTGCACCTTCAGAGGCTGAGTAGCTCCACATCGCGCAGATGGAGCTCAGAGGTGGTTGGTGTATCCTCTCACCAACGATTACTCTGAGCAGCATCTTCTAGATCCACGATTCGGGGTAGTCGACCACTAGCACCGCCCTCCAGGTAGCCAGGCTTCACCGCGGGTGTGTCTGAGAGCCTCCTCTTGCTCCTGGTTAGGTCTAGACAGGAAGATAAATAACTCTATCGATTGCTTTACACCAGAGCCAACTACCACAGATGGAGAAGCAGATTTGTGTCCAAGCTTGGAAATCCAATTCTCACCTGAGATCGCCAACAACATCTTGCGTCTGGCTCCAAACGTGGAGACGCCCACTTCCTTCAGGTCTTCTTCAGACAGTGTGAGGAATGTCTGGTAGTCAATCTGGGTGAGTACAGATTGCATGTTCGTCGTGAGGCTCATTTATAATACATGACAGGACAGGAGTGTGCGTACTTGTTTGTGTGAACACTGTTTCTTTTCAGCAGTTCTAGTGCACAGTTTTCCAAACTAAAAAAACAGTATGTTGCATGTGTGGTATAGTGATATTATATTTCAACACTCACAAATTGTTTGCACGTTTTACCTCTTGTTGTTCAAACACATCAATGTATTTGATCAGGCCAATTTGGCTGAGCAGCTCAGGCAGCTCGTCTATCATCTGGGGGGAGGGGCTTCGCTGACTGCAGGTGGATGCCCTCCGAGATGAGCATCCACCTTCAAAGTAGCCATTTGAGAAGCTCTCAGCTACACATGAAAAGCCAAGGTTCACAGGAAAAGGTAAAGCAGCAGAGACAAACTGTATTTATTCTTAAAAACACACACAGGAGGGGGACTTACAGGCTTTGTCATTTCTGCTTCGATTCATCGAGGATGCAAATGCAGGAAAAGAGGAGGAGATCGAGGAGAAAGTCGATGGGGGTGAGGAGGGGGAGGATGAAGCAGAGGAGGAAGAGGAAGACACAGGCAGAGATGAAGGTGTGGATCCACGTCGGTCCCTCCAGTTGTCAGAGCTGCTGCCGTTACATACCTTTCCCATCTGAGATGCCCATGTCTTTAAGAAAACAGACGAGAAAATGTGAGAAAGATGAGAAAGTGTTTTTTTTTTTCTAGTTACCCTTAACAACAGCCCTTTGTACTTCTGACAATATCCCATTTTCTCTCCTTTTGTTTTGTCAGGGTTACAGGTCTGCTTCCAGTGATCACAAATTGCATGACATTTACAAGGACATAATATTCATCGGTCGGCAGATTTAAGCAGAAAGGAAATTAATCATTTTTCTAAACTAGCTCATTTGCCCTTTTTTGCGCATCTGTGATAGGAACACTCTCTCAATGTAAATGATCAACGCACCCAGCATAGCACCTGCCTCCTCCCAGCTCCCTGTGCCTCAATGAACTCATTGGAATTTCTGCTCTGATTAACCTAAGTGAGTCTGCATCTCCATCACTGGCTACTAAGCATTCAGCGAGTGCTGTTTCAGGCTTCTAAAGAGCTGAAACAGGTAAACAGGTTGCTGAGATGTGGCCGTGTTGACCGAGGCGATGGTATCAAACCCCAGGTAATTGAGCGTACAAATTGGCAGTGCTTACCACAGGGAGATAAATGGTTTAAAGTGTTAAAGGGCAAGACCAATAAATGAGACTGTTGGGGGGCTGCCGCAGTAGGGTGCTTGTTTCACTGCACTGCAACAAAAAAAAAAAACAGCTGTGGCAGCTAAAAGGAAATAAAATGTAGGGAACATATATATAAATCAGGACGCCTCAAGCAATAATTAATTGTGCTGAGCTTCATTATTCTGCATCATTTTAGTTTGTTAAAGCAGACATTAATCTGATGCTCAGTCGCACCTGTTGCTGGCTGTTGATGGTGCTCAGGTAAGGCTTGTAGCTTCGTCGGCTAATGTTGCGTAGCTCTTTGACGGCCTCGGCTGGCATGGACTTGGAGAAACCAAGACCACTCCAGGTGTCTGTGGGCGTCTGGACCTCTGTGACCACAGGCTTCCTCTGCATGGCTGCAGTGATACAAATACAAAGATAAAAATTTCACAAAACTTGCATGAAAATCCTTTTCTTTTTTTGGGTCACTACCAGGCAGCAGAAACAAGCTAGAAAGCCAAACACTGTCCTATTACTAGCTAAGGTGTTAGCTAAGATGCTAAGTTACATATTGGGCAAACCCAGACTGACATTACCTTTTATTTTAGAGTTGTGTTTCCGGTTAGCCTCCTTTTGAAACTACTTTCAGCTTATTTGCATCCTACCAACTCCTGAGAGATCCTCCAGCACTTTTTATGCTAAACTAAGATTTCATAGCTAGTCGATAAATTTGTCTTTCCATTTTAGTGCACTGCAGGTAACAAACAGTGGGTTTATCCAAGCCTTTTGCTAAAGCAGCTATAATATTGTGTCTATAACAACACTACAGAGAGCAGTTGGAGTAAATAAACATCAAAGTTAGATAGAAACCAAAACAGTGAGCTAAAGATGCTATAATGACAGTTTTCAACATGAGTCAAGTTATTTATCATTTTAACAAGCTGCATTTATTACACAACTCTAAGTGTGCACTGACTCTTTTGGCAAGCAACTGTCGGCCTACACAGTGTGCCCATCGAGAAAATGCATTGCAAGTCTGCAACTTCCTTTCTGATTCACATGATCAATCTGGGTTCTGGTGTTGAATAAAGAATCACAGACAGTGCTTCACCTTGCCAGCATGATGCACCAAAATAAAACTCTTAATGCTGAGACTAAGACAGGTACAAAGTTTAAAATGACGACATGTAAACCAGGGTAACTTCGAGCACTGAAACAGAGTCCATGTGTGAATGTGACTTAAACTTTAACAGCCCTGCAAAGAGTGTGATACCACTCGGATTATAACTGGTGGGTTGTAGTTTGTGTGCACATGTGTGTGTTTGAGTGAGTAAATGTCCCATTCATATACTGGCATATGGGTGTCTTAATGACTGTGAGGCAGATGGCCCATTCAAACTGCTAATTCATAATCCCATAAAGCCACACTGAGGGAATTTAGTAGCATTTGGCTGCAGATCTTTGCAGTATCTCTCATTCTGCAAGATGGATGAGGCAGCGTGTGTGTGTGTGTGTGTGTGTGCGCGCGCGTGTGTGCGCGTGTGTGTGTTGTGTGTGTGTGTTTTGTCTGCATTGTGTATCTGCCCCGTGTGAATAAAGTGGGAGTGCCAGGGCTGCTCTATTATAACTCTGGCACGGTGCAGCACATACACAGGTCCCCCTCTTCAGCTGTGTTGGCAGTGATCAGCACAAATATCAAGTGCCTGCCTCTGCTCAGGATATTAATGTGTCTCAATAATATGTTTAAGTGAAATAAATTACTAGATCATGGATAATCATACGCCAATAAACATTAAATTTATGCATTTTTACAGAAAATTCCATTATACTCTTGATTTAATGTTGTTTGAACGGCTGAGTCGAAATATTTTTCCAATACATGCCCTGCTCCAAAAACAACAGCTTGGTCGTACATAAGTGGCCATTTGACAACAGAAAAAGCAATATACAGTGATTCGTTTGCTCTAAAAATGTGTTTTTATTGTAATTATTTTTAGTAAACTGCTAATTAAAGATCAATTAAAAACAAAGGCTTGCTAAGCAATGGCCTAAATGTTGCTGCAGAAGCCTGTACAACTCCTGAAACAAAAGTAAGACAAAACATATTAAACATTTAGAAGTGCTAACCTCGGTTTGCCAGCAGTTTCTTCTTCTCATAGTCATAATCCTACAAAGCACAAGCAGGAAATAGTGTGAGTAAATAATGCATGAAATTAAATTGTTTTTTTTTTTCTTTTCTGGTTGATGAGAACAGGCAGAGGGGGGCTAACACATCATGCTGCCTGCGACAGTAAACCTGTTAATCCTCTGTGCAATAACCTTTGAGAGTGAGAGATGACAAAAACAGTATGAAGGGAAACACAAAATTGAAAGGTTATGTAACACCACAAATAAAATGTTGCTGCTGTTTTCAATTTAACTTCAGTTTGATGCAGAACAAGTTTAAGGCTTTAACTTCTTTTTCTTTGTCTCCTTGTCATACAGCCGTTTTCTTTAAGATGAATTATCTCTGAAACACTGCTTCACCTTCAGTGTCAAAAGGCGGTCAGTCATTCAGAAAGACTTGATAACCGTTCCTCTGAATACTACGTGTAGCCAAATAAACCTGTCCATAGATGTAGCACATCAATTTGTGGGGGCAGTAAAATAGATCTACAATTCCTGTTTTTCCTCACATCAGCCTTGGATGAGTCAGCGGTTACATCCTGAGCCAGTGTCACATCTCTCCTCAGGCTGTTCCTCCGCTCGCTCCTCCCTCCCTCTATGTCTGCATTCAACAATCTGGCACATTCGGGACACACACACATACGAAGATAGATAGAAAGACAAAGGTAAGGTCAAACTGGGATGGCAGCTATCAAAGGATTTTAAAAACAGAGTAATGATGCTCTGTATAAAAGAGGAGCTGCTCCAGAGGTCTACACGCTGCCCTTTCTCCAGCTCAGCTTTATATTTTGATAAGATTTGTAGGTTCTTGATAGATCAGGCAAATAGGAGGGTGATTATATGAATGTGTGTTTGTGTGTATCAACCATGCTGAAAGTAAAACATTTGTTAAAAGTCATTAAGGGGACTCATTCATTCATTTGGAGCTCGCCCTGCTGACTGGCTACAGTATACAGGATCTCAGATAGACAGGACATGATGGGTCAAACAGTAAAATGAAGATAGACGTCTGTCCGTCCGTCCGTCTGTCCGTCTGTCCATCTGTCTATCTGTCTATCTTTTTATTTTTGGTATATTGGTAGACATCAATGCCATGCTTCACAAGCTGATCCCAACTGTGCAATATGTTGCTGGGTGTATTTGGCTTCACATTAGTAAAATGGGAGGAGATGAAGAAGCATCGTCCAGCTGTATATACAGTCAACGGTGTGAATGCTCACCTATATGTTAGCGCCTGTCCTGTTGAATGGCGTCTGCCCTGGACGAAAACCTTAGTGATTTCAGGACCCTGGAGACTTCCCCTCCGACCCATCAGTCCCACCCTGCTGATAATGCTGACTGCATCACACACCTCAGATGATGACATATCATTGACCTTAGGGCTCTCGTCCTCTGATTGGCCAGACAGGTCCTCATTTTCAAGGATCTGAAGAAAAGGGTAAAGTTTGGTTCTTGGGTTTTTAATTTTACCCAAGTTAAAATGTATTTTTTAAAAGTGTTTAGATCGAGTCAATGACTGTAAACTTACCTTCTCAAGCGGCCGGCTGTCGTTTCCCTTAAGTAATGTCCTCCCCTCATCAACAGGAGGAGTGAGGCCTGGTGGGGGTGAGGGGCGGGACTTAGTGCCAGTCAGCACCTCTGTAGAGGGCGCAGACAGAGAGCCTGTTCAACAAGGGGGGACATAGTGAGAGAAAGATCGGGCCAGTTTGTATTGCTTAAAAAAAATATGGTAAACTTTAAAAAAGGCAGCCAGTTTTTAAAATACACAAGTATCTTTGCAAATGTAATCTTAAAATCTTCTGGCATGAAAATGCAAGAAGAGGGGCGGACAATGTACTCACAAAAGGCTGATGGAATAGACAACAAAGTTATGATATTGATAAAGACAAAAATAACATGTCGGGTTGAAAGGCTGAACCTGCTTTCATCACAATTAGCTCAGTGTCCAAAGATTTGATTTTAGAGGGGAGGGGCAGGACAGCAGCAAACACTGCTGTGGGTCTAATGTCTTTGTGAACATTGTTGCTTTCAAATTTCCTTGACATTTGGACGGAAACAAACATACATAAATCAATGTCTATGTGAACGCTCACCCTGCTCAGAGAGACGAAGCTGCTGCAGCAACATGTTGAGCCAATAGCTGGTCAGCCCGCTGCCCGCCAATGTGGGGTCAGGGTTAATCTCAGTTACCTTGGAGGTCTCACAGGAATCCAACCCAAGGAGCAAACGGCGAGCCTCATAAAGAGAAGATATGTTTCTCTCCAGACCTTTTACAACCACTGACTGCAAAAAATACACAAATACAAAATGATGCATCAGTATTCAACACAGCACAGCACACAGGACTGCAGGGCACGTGGTTTGCATCCAGTATCACAGTGAATATATTGAGGGAATATTTCAATAAACATTTTTTATTCAATCCGCTACATATGAAATAAGCAATGACAATCTTGACAGTGAATCGAAGATTGGAGTAATTTAAGAGAAGAAACACTCAAATCAATTTGCTTTTTAGATTGAGATTTAATTTTCAACAATTACAAAGCAGAAAATCTTAATTTATAAAGTTGTACCTTGCTGGTCTGTTTTACTTTGGGTTTGACACTAATGAAGACTCCCAGGTTTTGCATCATCTGAGCCACTTTACAAGGGTCAGCCTCCCCATCTTCACGCATGTCAAACATCAAACATACAGGCAGACAGTCCTACATGTGCACACAAGAATCACAAAGGATATTAAACACACAATATTAACATATGACATAATAAAGAGAAACACAGAATATAAAGATACACACAATCTTTCCAAAATGAAAAGCTAGATGTCCCACTGTACCATGAGCTGCTGCCGAGCCAGACACACGCCGTCAGGGCTGCCCTGGATGAGCAGTGAGGGGGGACTCTGAGGGGCACTGAGGTCTGGTAGGATGATCTGGGTCTGGGTCTGGTGCATGACACTCAGAAAGTGAGCTCCGTTCTGTCCCAGCAGGAAGAGGTGCTGCTGAGAGGTGACGTCCAGCTGACTGTTTACTACACCTCCTGTGACCTCTGAGCCCAGCAGCAGGTCCATCAGGATGCAGGTCGCCTTCTGCAGGATGCAATTCATGACATAATCATGTCACACCATGTCATATGAGTAAAGTTTATTCAAATTCCAGAGTACTGCTAAGGTGCCCTTGAGCAAGGCACCGGACCCCCAACTGCTCTGGTGCGCTCCCTGCGTAGCAGTGTGTAGCATCCCAACTCTGACATTTCTCCACTAATACATGTCCACAGGTCCTGAATGTGAATGTGTGTGATTCAGGCCTGTGTGTGTGAGAAGCATGTCTCTCAATAACAGTTTAAAACCAGCTTAGCTTAGCTCTGTGAGTCTGATTTAGTTTTTAGCTTTGTTTAGTTCAGCTTATCTTAACTTTTCAGTAGTCCCAAGACAAACTCTTTAAAAGTCTGAATGTGATTTTAAAGCTTGAGTTTGAACATTACTCTCTCTACTTTGTGCATAAACAGAATTGTCTAAAATGTTTGACACTGACCTTGACAGCAGCTGCGTTGCCCTGCAGGCCCCACACACTGCAGCAGCTTTCATAGAATGAGGGTTGTGCCTGAGGATGTGGTGGCACAGCCCTGAAGCTCACATTGACCCCCAGAGTCTGCACTACCTGCTGGATGAGGGGGGAGCCCGTGTCTGGCAGAGCCTGGGGCACCAGACTGACAGGGAGGTCAAAGGTCAGGGACAGCGGCTGCAGATCCTAGGACAAAAAAAGGTTTGGATGGAAAACAAAAGAAAAGAAGTGTGATGTAGAGGAGAGAGGATGGGGAGATAAATAATTTGAGACAGACTGACAGGCTGACAGACAGCAGTTTTTGGATAAATAAAGCTGTCTTCTTTGTGTCAGCTGTTTATATTTATCATTTTATTAATACCTCTGTTTTGATGGGATTGGCAAAATTTAACTATGAGAGAAACAAAAGTCAATCCTGAGTTGTCCTAGCTCAGTTGAAACATACGACTCACCCTTATTCTTCTCCTGGCCTCCTCCACTCCTTCTATGGGCCCAGCAATGGAGACCTGGGAAAAGTTTTCAAGTAAAAACAAAAGTATCAAGTAAGTTGGTTTTCTCTCCTAAATTGTCAGTGACTCACTTGAACTCTGCATTTGTAAGTGTTACCTGGTTGCTTTCTCTCCAGTAGCACTGTGGCGATTGGAGTCGGGGAAGTGGATGTGACAAGATGTGACCTCCATCACCTTTTTGATGTTTCCTCCACCTTTTCCAATCACATGGGAGTGTTCTGTGTAGGCCACATCCATCTTCAGAGTCACCTTGTTTACCTGGATTTTATAAAAAACAGTGTTCTCATATGTACACATTACTTTTAAAGATGATCATCGGGACAGATTCAACATGAAAAAGTGTACATTTAAACACCAGCAAGACTTCATGCACAGGTTGCAATTTCAACTTTATGACAAGCACTCTTTGCAATTCAGTTCTCTTCAAGAGAGAACATGAAAAATAAAAGCATGTCTTTGATGTAGCTATAAATCAGAGCCCTCACCCTGGTTTCCAGAACTTCTAGTATCTTCTTTTTTGCTTCCAAAACATTGGCTCTCTTTCCCTCCACCTTCACGTGTGGATCTAGAAGAAAATAGGAGTTCCGTTCAAATATTAAGTGTGTCATAAAAAATAGAATATAGACTTATACAAAAGTAATGCCACTCATTCATCACTTATGGCTTCCATACATGTGTGGTGGTGACTGTGTCTGCAGAGACCCTGTCCTCTGCCTTAATATTTTGTTTTTTTTGTTTGACAAGCAACCTTTCTGGGCGAGGAGCTGGGGTGTTTCCCCGAGCCAATTGCAGTGTGCAGGTGAGTTTAGGAGTCGATACAAATCAGCGATTGGACATGATTCAAACTGGCATCTATAACTTACGTGAATGTAGTGACACAGAAGATAAAATATAATCACATGAAGTGAAACTGGTTTCAAAACAACAGTGAACCTTGTGTAGTTGGACTCATTTCTGTTGGACAGTCAGGTGCCAAACACCTGCAGTTAGCTTGTGCTAGCGTGCTGTAGATTTCAGTCTAGGTACAAGCAGTAAACGCACAAATTACATTCTGCAGTGAGTGTGTGCTTCTTGGGGGCAATAAGCCCCGGAGGAGGGGACCCAGTTTGAATGTTTTGTTTACAAGCTGCAACGAACAATGCTACCGACTCTACTTTTAGTGGAAATTGCTAGATCAATATGTGAAAAAACACACGGCACTGTTAAGATGTGAGTAAAATAACAATAATTTGTCACCTTTCTTTGACTTGGCTCCAATCTTCAGCTTGGAAGGCCATTTCACCTGAGTGTCGGTTTCTCTCATCACCTGTGGAAGCACACAAAATCAGTGGGAGTGAGAAACAAAGAGCAGATAGGCATTGTCTGCCACAAAGACACACACACACTCATTCCTACACATACAATCAATGAACAAACAGAAACACATCCAGACCTAGTGCTCAATCTAAGAATACAAAGCCTCATTTGCATTTCAAAGACTGAAATTACCACCTCCATAAAACCAGTAATGACTGGATGTAGAGAATGAAACAAATGCAAAAAAACAGGCAGGGATGATCCCAATTATCTATAAACTACATTTAACAAGAGGCCTTTTTGCACTGGCGATTATAGGTGGCTTTATTGTGGAGAGCGTTTGCTTTATTGTTTAGTCTTTTAGAGTGAATAAGTTGAATCCTGTGGAGCTGTACTTACTCTCTCAAAAAATTGCTCTCCTGTCTCACCATCTCCATTCTTTGGAGCTGCAAGACACAAAGTGGAAAAACAGATAACATTTCAAAGTTCCTGCAGTGTGATTTTTCATGTGGTGTTGGTCAGCGGCACAATATTCCTCTGTTAATAGCGTGTGTGGAAAGTCAACATGCAAATGTTGACTCGGGCCAAATTTGCCGAGCGACTGAAACAAGAGGTTGCCGGGAACATAAACAATTTTAAAAGGCCATTGCTCCTCAGTGACATTTACAGGGTATGGGAAGGGGGGGTCTTGTTACGCCCTCAAAGTCCTCCCTCTATCACTATGGGTTACGCTGGCCAGAGCTGAGGAATGGTAAGAGAACAGTGTGGGGTGGAGAGAGAAGGTGGTGGCCGTGGGGGGAAGCGACCACATAGTAGCCTGGAGACAGCTCATCACATTGTGGTATTTGATGACGCAAAGACCTCCCACCAGACCAATTTTTTTTTTTTTTTTTTTTTAAAGAACATCTGCAAAATCAGGAGGGAATTTGTAAAAAATAAAAAAGTGCTTCTCAACTGATTAGAGTGGAGTCCCAAGTGCAGTCTGACGGTTTATCACTTGAAGGGGTAAGATATCTACTTCCTGACTGAGGCTGCTCAAACACGCAGTCCCACCTGACACACATATTTAAACATCCCGCAGTTATCAGCTGAAACACTCCAGCTTTCCCATCAGGAGTCTGCGTGAGGACAAACATCGGCCTCTATCTGCCGCACTCTGTCAGGAAGAGTATCTGCAGTAACACAGGGGAGGCATTTGTCATAAACCTACCAAGCAGCAATAACTTATAGAGGCAGCTTCCTCTGCTTCACAGATAAGAATGATAATAGCAGAAATGACTTCTGAATGTATGAGCTGTTACAGGTCATAAATCATGATGACAGTGCAACAGTAGTTTAGTGGATGGAGGTTATTCTGATGGAAACAACAAGGGCCAACAACAAGCAGCCAGCTGGAGGCCGTGACTGACACACAGGGGTCAAGTAGATAACAAAGACAGTGAGGAAGAGCGCACAGGGAGGAGATCACGTTCACAATAACTAGATTAAAGACAATAAGTTTACACTCACCATACAACATGTTCTCCAGCTTCTTACGATCAATCCTGAACCTCTCCTCCACCCACTCCGGGTCCAAACTCTGCACTGTTCCGCTCTCCTCTTGCACCGAGCTCCCTCCACCTTCCTCCTCTTCTTCATCCTCCTTGTCCTCTCCGTCAGGTTGGGCCTTGCTGGGCTCAGGCTTTGCTGCTGAGTCGGGTTCTATGCTAGTTTCCAAATCGGGCTGCTGGGTGGCTGCAGGCATTGGGGCTGGAGAGTTCTCCTCTGTAGTCGTGGTGGTGGTGGAGGAGGCCATAGCAGGACTGAGCCCTTCGTCAGTGTTTGTGTGAGTGAGGATGTGTGTGTGTGTGTGTGTGAGTGTGTGTGACCAAGGAGTCCGGCAGGGGGAGAAAAAAAGGGGAGAGAGGGGTGAGAAACACCCCCTGTGCCTTTTCTTTAAACCCCCCGCCCCCTGCACTTTATTTAGTACACAAATCTAACTCCGTCTCCTTTTTCAAACAGTTTTAAGGTCTAAAGGATTTGCTTTTGAAATTTGCCACGCACAGACATACAAGGAGAGTGAATTTCTTAACTTTACACAGCTTTTATTTTTATCAAGAGGCCTCAAAGCAGACATACAACATTCAGAACTTCAGCTGAGGCTCACTCTGATGTTAACAAATCCTCTTTGATCCCCTGACTAACACCCACCGATTAAACAGATAGATAGTCAAGGCCTATGATAAATCCAGATACACGTCTCTCACTCACACACACACACACACACACACACACACACACACACACACACACACACACACACACACACACACACACACACACACACACACACACACACACACACACACACACACACACACACACGCACACACATATCCTGGATAGCATCCAGTGCACACAGCTAACAAAACAAACGGGTCATCCAGTGGGGTTCCAACACACAGCCGTGTTCGTCTGAATGAGACGAACGAGGGCTTGACATTCCAGAGGTTGGGCGGGGGGGGGGGAGTGAGGAGGTTGGAGTGTGTGCAACAGTGAGTTTGTGGGGTTATTGGAAGGGGTGTTTAAAGACATCATGCCAATAGTTTAATTTTAATGTTGTCACTAGTCTATTGGAGGCTGGCTTCAACATAAAGATTATTACTGAGGGAAGAATATCAGAAGAGACAATATTTTTTATTCTTTTCCTCTCATTCACCTGATATATGAAATCATTTCACTGTAGACCTTGGCCTTAACATAAAATCATGTAGGATATTAAAGGAGAACTCACTTAGATGTAACAACTCATTGGCATCTCCACACGCTGTATCTCTCTGCTTGAATATCTACTCTTTCACAACACAAGTGACAGTAGTTAAGACATTTTCTAAAAATGTTTATAAGTTGGACATCCCTCCAAGGCAACTGTCCTGTGTCACATTTTCGGGTTTTTACATTTTTTTATTTTTCATAAATATCTGAAAACTTGCAAGAAATGAACTTATTGAGTTTTATTCACAGGCTTTATTAAATGGTTGTATTTTACAGGATCGTTACATGTTTCAGCTAAATTTAAAATACAAAGTTATGTTAGCCATCAAAAAGAAAGATGTGTTGTCAAAGTGTAGGGTTACATCAAATAAAATAAAAACCTTGAGAAATACCTCTAAACTACATAATGTACTTAGGTGATCACCACTGCCTTCAATAACACCAAACAACTCCTTCTGCACACACAGGCTGGAAACTAATATGTTTGAGAAAAAAGCAGACAGTAAACTTCTGAGAAATGGGGAGACGTGATTTAAAAGTCATAAAAAAGTGCAAATGAGATTTTAAATATTGCAAAGCACTTATGAAATTCCCTCCCTGCTATAAAATTCTCAAACTTGAGAACCTGATCACAGATTGAAACATGGCTGAAAACAAACTGCTCAATTAGTCAGATCTAGAGGGACTCTGTTTCCAGCTCAGCTCTGTGTTTTCCATATTGGCCAGACTAATTTGGCCCCTGGCGAATCAGCAAAAAGTATTTGGCAGTGCAGAGATCTTTCTAACATTAGAAACCACTGCAGGCTAGGCTTAATCGCCCAGGGAGGATTGTAAGTGAAAACACCATGATCGTGTCACCATGGAAACTAGTCAAGGAGTGAATAATTCAAGTTAAATCTGAATACACAACAACAGATCTCCTCCCTCCAGCCCCCCTCATAAGCCCCCGTCTGACTGAGGAGTGTGTTTCCAGTAAGCGTCGAGACGTGCGTCACTCTTTGATCCACTAGACGAGGAAAGAAAAGCCAAACCGTCCTGCAAAGTGATTGATGAGCTCTGGGTTTCACTAAATCAACTCCTGAATCCACGACTGAGTCCTTTTATTCATCTTGATAGACGGACAGAAGCGTACTACACTTTTCCAGTTAAATAACATTCTCCTCATTCACTTTACAATCACACCACTCATTGTAGCCTTACACTGAAAACTGAGCTGGCACATGAACTCTAAGAAAACTTAGCTTCATGTCACAAACATCGTCTGTTCTCAGAGATATCATGTAGAAAGACGTGCAACAGAACCAAGAATTGAGGAACAATTGAAAAAACCTTGCTTAATTATTGCTTAGACACCTCATAAATCTTGTTGGTCTCTATGCCATATTTATGAGACAGCTTTATTTTAAAATAAAACAACCTTTCCTCTATGATCTGCATTTTTATAAATGATTGAATAAGAACTAAAGCTATCAAAGCTGCCGTCTCTTGTTTTGATTACCTGTACGTTTTGGTTGGTAACAGTGAATGCCTTTTCCAGACATGCATCTTGTTCTTTAATGTGGTATATCATTTAAATCCAACACTTGAAAATGGGTTGTATTCCACTGAGCAGTGTCCGTCTTTAACTTGTCAAGTTTCAGTATTCTTCCTTACTCTCACTGTGGGATCCTTGAAAAATAATGGAGTCATAATCAATGCTATTAAGAAATCCAGTGCAAACAACCAAAATATCTCCTCCAGTAGCATCCAGTTACTCATGTAGAAAAAGAGATAAATACACTTTTTGTTTGAACTATGAAGAAAACTCCAGACAGATGTTATGCACTTATCATCCACTTGAACAATGGCATCAAAATCGGTTCAATAAATCACAAATAATATTTAGACCCTACACTTTATAAACCAAGGTCATGGGTCTAATCCATGTCCACACCTCTTGGGAATTTTGTTTAGGCTATATTAAAATGGATGAAATTGTTATGATTCATCCGAACCACAACAATAAACAAATATTCCAATATTCACATAGCATCTATCAGCACATTTATTGACCTCATACAGATCACACAATATAGAGCCTAGAGTGATATTCAACAATGCAATAATGCTGTTTAAAAACATACAAAGCATCAGATACACACGTGATTAATAAAACTATAACATGATAAATAAGCTGTACACAGGAGTATAACATTTCCACAGACAAGTCAAATGACTTTGTCTGCTCTGATGTTTTGATGAGGACCTCATTGTGAGATGAAACTGAAACACCTCAAATCCTGCATCTGTTATTGTCCATCTAACCACACGGTGGAGCTGTGACGTAAGTAAACCACCTCCTCAAGCTTCCTCTGTTGCGTCACCTGAGACACTTCCGGTCTTCACCTCAAACACGCAACTCGTGACTGTTTTTATTTACCGCGAGCCAAAAGCTTCCGAGGAGAAGGGGCCGCAGGGGTGGGGACAACAACAACAACAACAACAACAACAACAACAACAACACCTCCACCTCCACCTCCACGATGAACCTGGACATGCTTTATCGTAGAAAACTCTTCAGTTAACTCAGCCGTGAAAGACGGAACGTCGTCATGTGGAGAGTTCACGGTTTTGTCGGAAGAGGTGAGACACATGTCATTTCACCTGCTTCCTCCCACAGTTGCCACGCTCTGTTCACGCAGGTTGACAAGTTTAGTAGCGAAACGTTTGCGTATTCAAATTAGGCCATGTGCAATTTATTAATTTAGCCTATTGTGAAATAAAAGCTACTGAAAACAACACGTCAAACATCTTGTAGTCGGTGACACTGACACCGCTGACCGGTTTATTTTGGTCCAGGTCAGTGAGTTTTGTTTCTGTTGCTGACCTGTCCGTGTCCGAAAAATCACACAGCAGTGGCAGATATATATATATACACATATACACTTAATACACGTTACCTGACTTGCATGAAACACAGTCTGCACGCATACCGTATGGAAACTTGCTTATATTCATAAATATGTGTAAATGAATCTGTGTGGGTTTTCTCTAAACATGGAGATCGCCTTAATTCTTGAACCAAGACTTGTGTTTTTGTTTTGCTGGTCTCTGGGTTGTCTCTGTGCACAAATGTAATTGGAAACCTTTAACAAAAAGGTCTTTGTCTTTAACAAACCCAGACAGTCAGAACCAGATTTACACAATAAGCCAGTCAGATGACAATGTTTTGGTTCTAACAATTGCCATAATGCATTGTTCTGTGCTGTTAATTGAGAAATATGTTAAACTTAATATTACCTTTGTCACTTCTACAGTATTTCTTAAGTTTCTAAAATTTCCTATAATTCAAAATAAACTGATAACTAGTTTTAATTTATTGACAGGTGTTAGTACGAATTTTCATGAATTCATACATTTTGGTAACTTTGTGAATGAACCATTTAAATCTGTCTACCATCTAAAAGTAACTCTTCTCCCAGGTTCAAGATGTAACCATATCTATGTAACTCATCTCATGGCAGCAGAGTTATATTTGGTTTAGAGCCAACTGTCTGTTGTAAGCAAAGGTTTGCTAAGAATGAAATGAGTCAAGCTGATGTCTTCTTTCTTGCCTTATAGAGATGTACCAAAGTAGTCAAGAATTTGTCGGATGTACCTTCTAGCAGAATAAAAGCAAGTCTGTTAACATAGAAACTTTGTCGGCCGATTAAACCGCGTTATAATCCACAGTCTGTTTCACAATTTCATCACTGAATTTATACAGCAGCAACAAGCCCCACCCAACAACAGGTGAACACTTTTAATGGACAAACATTTCACAGTGTTTCTTTTCTTTTAGTAAAATAAGAGGAATAGTTAAAATGTCTTACTGAATATGTGTGTGTATAAATAAAACAAGCCTTATAAGTCAAACATATAATATTACCCAAAAGCGATGAAAAAACACTTCTAATGATTAAAAAAAACAAATTGTACATTTGTGTAGTTCTATGAGGACAGTTTCCTTCAAGCAGTGAAATTGATTTCAATGAAATATCTGTGGATAATATTGAAGTGTCCTTATTCTGTGCTTATTATTATCCAAATACACATTTTTCTTCCTGAGAAATCTTTTAA